CTTAAAATATTCGATCAACAAGATAATCCGAATCTTACTTCCCTCGTAGTGATTCCTTATCATATCTTTTGTTGGTGATGTCAATATATTTTAAAAAATCTTTCATACCATGTAGAGTTTCTACTGTTGAGAGATGGGGATAGCATGGAACTCAATTCACATAACTGGAAAACTGGACTTTATAATTTAAATGGAGAAACATTGGAAGACAGACCTGAGCTTGCTTCTGAATTAAATGGTCAGTCATCTGGCCAAGCCTTCTCTTGAGTTCAACTTCAACTTCAGTTGGTTCCTCCATCTCTCTTCTCATCAACTCTATGTTTTCTTCCAACTTTCCCCCCTGTAATTCACAAATAAGACAATAAGATTATTATTATAAGAGAACTATTTTCTTTCCAATGCCTCAAGATACCCATTTATACCTTCTCCTGCAGTTGGAGGACTTTATCAGTGATGAGAGAGTGCTCTGCCTCAAGAATCTCCAATTCAAATTCAATGCCTTTAAAAGGCAACTGCAACATTTGCAGTATAAGCTATCAGAAAAGGCAAATTACAAGAAAATGTTACAAAGACCACTGGTACATTCACAAGTAAATAATTCTTACTGATTTTGTCGATGTTCCAGCTTGATGGGAGCTTGCAATCCTCCTCCTCAGTTCTACAACAAAGAAAGGTCTTTCAAGAACTATTAACATAAAACACTTACAATATGACCATACCAATATTTTCTATGATAATAAAAATTCTATATAAACATGTCCACGATCTATGTGGATACTCAAGTCACATGCCAACTTCCCTGTGGAGTTGGCATCAAAAACACTGATAATTGCTGGAAACAATTTGCAGTCAAGGCTCATCAAGGACTCAAAATTAGCATTCATCTCTCAGGGCTTAATAATTCATGCAACAAGCTCTTTCTTCACAAAATCTGAAGAGAGTTTTTTCTCACATCAATAGTAAGACCAACCAGTTGGTCAGGAAGAAAAGTTGTACCTTCATGAGTTGTTTCTTTCAGTTCAATCTGCTGTCGAAGTCCTGCAACCCGATTACCCTGATACAAGAAGAGGAAACATAACGCTTCAATGTTCTCATCCGCTAATTACTTGAAAGGTAAACTAGAGGCAAAAATATTGCATTTGCCCATAAGTTTACAGAAATGTTACAAAGTTCAAGCAAGAAAGGTAGACGTGGCTATTAAACATGAAATTGCAGAACAACTCTTCTGTAGTAGAATTTAGAAATACAAATCATAAGAATGTTGTTTTGCAGTCATCATTAGTCTTGAATGAGAAAAGGCCAGAAAGGGAAGTGTGCTCCCTGCCACGCTACTCTTACCGGAACGGTAACTGTGTGACTAACAACTGTACCAGTTTGTGCATTAGTGGTCCAAGTGCAGTGCCATGATATGGTTCAAAGATAAACAGAGCAAAACCTATGTTATTAAGACATTTTAATTGGATCACTTGGCACAATGTACTTCTTTAATTAAAAAAAAAATCACCAACGTAACCTCAAATCTGGGTACAAAGGCACAAAAATCAATCAAGATTCAATAGTGGCAAACACCATTGACTTGTAAATGCATTAACAATGACTTTTAATACTTCACATATGGAAGTTACGGATAGTAGCCTTTTTTCATCTATCTGTATATTGGTAAATAAATTAGTTGAATAGTAATCAACTATTTTATACGCTAGATCATTATAAGAAATACAGCAAGTAGGATACTTTGATTTGGCTGTTAGATAAGGAGAGCCGGCATATCTCAATTTTAATTGACGGGATACACGATAGGCTAGAGAAGTTCAAATGAGATTCATGGCAAAAAGGCCTAACAGAAATGAAACTTAACATTTCTTCCAACACATAAATACAACCATATGCCCCTACCAACCCTCATCATACCTCTAACTCAAGATTCCATTGTACAGAAGCAAGGGTTCTCGCAAGATCAGCATTTTCAGTCTGCAAATCAGATATTACTTTAGTAATGATAAGAAAAAATGCTCTCGGATTATTCTTCAAAAAGGTGAAATATATATTGCCAAAAGCACTAGAAAAACCACATGGACAAAATGAACTTAGAAAACAGACATCTTTTATGGGTTGATTACCTCAAGCTTGGCCATTATTGCAAGGGCTTCTCTACGGGTTTCATTGTGCTTCTGCTTCTCAAGCTCAACAGCCTCCATTGTTTCCATCATAGATGTCTGCAGCTCTGAAGCCTGAATTTTAAAATTATATGAATATGCATTAAAAATTAAAATCGGCATTCCACGAGCCAGTATAGAGTACAAAATATTAAAAATGTATCTAACAGAGATTAAAAGCATCAAGAAAGCTGCCTCATAAATGGGTAGCCTTTTCTACTAACTGCCTGTATGACGGAAGGTAGGCAAAGAAACCAGAGGCCAATTTTTATTTAAAAGAAAAACACTTTTGTAGCATCCTGGCTTTTTTTTTTTTTTTTTTTTTTTTTTCTTTGTTGGGTATAATTTTACTGTAATTTCAAAATTCACATTCAGCAGAATCACACACAAAATTGATGATCAAACTCAGGCTAAAATTGACAATTCGAAACTACACAATTTACCTCTTCTGCTTGCTTTCTTGCTCGATCCTCCAGTATTTTTTCCAGGCTCTGCTTCTCGCCCTCCAGTCTAGCAACCAAGTCTTCCTGTTCTTTGATAGCCTCCAAGGCTTTGGCAGCTGCTTTCTCAGCCAGAATTTTCTGCCTCCTCCTCCTTTTTTCTTCCCTCTCACGTTCAATTTCAGAATCAGAAGCTGAACCTGAGTCTGAATCTGAACCAGAACTCCCATCACTAGTTGAAGATCCTGTCCATTCTTTTCTTACATCATCAGATATAGAACTACGAGAAAATTCATCTGATTTATGCTTTCCAGAAACACCACTTCCTTGATGATTTTGCACAGCTTTCACAATGATTTTTGTATCAGATATCCTTTCAGCCTGACCTGTATCCGGCATTGTTTCTGAGGAATGACCATTTCGTATTGCTAGCATGGAATCCTTCAAAGAAAAACCCTTAGAATCAAAATTTCCACCAAATTCTTTTTTCTCCACACTTTTTGCTTCAACTAAAATATTGTCACCAGCCTCTTTTTTATCTAGTTCTCGACCTTCAGAATGCGTAATATTTTGGTCACTCTTCAGATCAACTCTTGTATCAGTCCTCAATGGAACTGAAACATTAGATTCTTCCACATCACTTGCCTTCCTATTTAATCTTTTGGTTTCCCCAACGGACTTGTTACTTATAGTGTTGTTCTGAGTTCTCTTGAAATCCAGCACCGACACAGTTGAACCTGCATTACTTGGTTTGCGACCGTCTCTCTTTGCACCACGAATTGAAGATGCACCATTACTGCGGGCTGCAGCCGAAGTTGAAGGTTGATTAGGTGTACCGAGCAGTTCGGTCCAGTCACTGTCCGTCAGTGTGGATGGTTTTGACGATGGCGAGGATTTTGGTGAGGCAGAAATCACATTATCCTGGTTTCTGCTTACATTCAAACTTAGATCACTACGAAATTTGCCATGATAATCTTTATCATCTTGGTTCTTCTTCTTGAGCTGATCCTTCAAAGGCAAAATATCTCCAGTTTTGCCAGTGGCTTCCAAATTATCCACAGCTGGAGGCCTTTCGTCCTTCTTAAGCGACTCCGCCGCTTGCTGATCGATCTAAATCGTCCATTTCACACAAGAATAAAGAAAACTAACCTCAATAAACGAAACAGATCAAAACACACATTCACAAACAGACCAATTACACCGGCAATACAATAATGCGCAGCTCGATTCTCGAAAAACCAAAACACACACCTCATTTCGGATCTACAAATTTCGAAATAACGCGCAAGAAAGAGATAATCGAATTCCCACACAATCTCCCAGCCAAACTCTCAGAAATCAAACCATAATAAGAACAAAAAAAAAAAAGGAAAAACGGAAGGGGCGAACTCACCTGCTGGAGAATGCTCTCAGCCGCTTTGAGCTTGGAGGAGATCCAATTAGCCATGATCCAAATCGACGATTCAGCTTCCTCGGTGAGGGATTGAAATCAGAGGAAAAACCAAGTCAACTATGATTGACATTCATACAATTATTTCCTTCAAAGGAACTTCGTTGTGAATTTCGATTGAGAGGTCACACTTGCAGAGAATTGGAGGGAGATGGACGATTGAGGAAGAGAAGGGGGAGGCCGAGAGGGTTACAGTCACAGGTCGGTTACGTGGACGGTAACACGTGGACTATTGTTGAATTCACGCGCGGGTCCCAGCTTTTAAGTCGCAAAATTTGGAGCACCATCAGTGGTCTGTCACGGAAGTAACCAACGCACCTCGTGAATTTGCGCCAGAAAATTCCAAGTCTTTTAGGACTGTTTGGTTACTCTGTTATTCTTATTCGTATGCTGGCGAGGGATAGTTTAATTAGTTAAAAGTTAAGCTACAAAATAATAATAATATTAATAAAAAAATTAAATTACTTAATCATAATTTTAAAAAATATATTCAGTAAATTTTTAATTCTGTATCAAATAGAACCATTATGGACTCTAAGAAGTTGATGCTCATTTAATAATTATTAGATTTATTTTTATTTATTTTCTTGTAATTTTTTACCTTAATTTATTTCTCCTTTTTAAGGTAACATTTTTTTTGGGTGATAATTCACAAAACACTTTTTTTTTTAATTATTTGTGTATATATAATTTTTAAATTTTAGTTTTGAATTTTAAAATGTTACCGACATAAATTAATTAAAATCAACGAATTTTCTAAACGGAATCAACGAACCTATGATCAAATTATGTTTTTTTTTTAATTTTAATGTTTACACGGAATAAATTGATTTAGAAAAGCTCGTAAATTAACCATATTTAATGACTATAAATAATATATATATATATATATATATATATATATATATATATATATATATATATATAAATAAAAATAAAAATAACTTCAACAAAAATATAAGGTAAACCCGCTATTTAAAATTAAAATTTCATAAATAACAACAATATGAATTGGGTTTGGTAGGAGTAACTTCATGAACAATCTCTTTTCCATTTGGAAAAGCAACAAGCTTTTCAATTCGTTTCGGTAAATTTAGGCTTTTCTGGGAAGCAATCGCATGGATCCTACGAACCATTTCAAGAAATGCCTCTTCCACGTTCACATTATCCATGGCAGAAGTTTCCATGAAAAACAAGTCTTCAGACTCTGCCAAACGCCGTCCTTCTTCTTCATGCACTTCTCGAGAATGGCTCAAATCACTTTTATTCCCAACTAGAACAATGACCATGTCCGAATTCCCAAAATCTCTTAGCTCTCGTAGCCACTTCTTCACATTCTCAAATGTGACCGCTCGAGTTATATCATATACTAGCAATGCTCCCAATGCTCCTCGATAATAAGAGCTTGTAATTGCCCTAAATCTACACCCGTCTTAATCAAATTTAGATTAAAACTTGGTAGAACATTATGGTATTAAAACTATATATTAACATAAAATTAAATTCGTAGATTTGAATGTAACAAATAAAACAATAAATAAAAAAAATGACATTATTAACAAATTTGGTATTAAAATATTAAGATAATAGAAAATAACTTTTTCTGACCTCTTTAGAAACTTGTAGCCTTCCGGAACAAACCGCCTTTGTCGCGGATAATAATAATTTAATTATTTTCCTTTAATATCTTTTTACCGGACACCTTTTTACTTCTGGTTTCTACGTGTCAAATTCTTATTGGACAATAAAATAAACCTAAAAAACAGGCTTAAATTTATGGAAAAAATTAGAAATGGTAGCCTTTTTTATTTAATGCAGAAAATCGGCTCATAAATGGAGGGAATAAAATTTGGTAGAAAAAGATGGATTAGTGAATAACTTAGATTAAGGTTGTAATTAATACTAATTAGGACATTTAAATTTAAGACACTATTCCTTCCATGAAACCTAGGTTTGGAATGTCTTGTTTTATTTGGAGACATATTAGCCTTTAATCAATCGCTAAACGACAGGTTCCATTTCTCTTTTAGGTTCATGGGTCCCACCAAAAGGACCAATTTTTTCTCTCCTTTTAATCCGACCTAATATTTTTTTAAATAATAATAATAATAATAAAACAAAATAAATTAAGAAGACGTCCTATAGTCACCTATAGAGTTTTTTAAATTTTTTAGAATGTGACTGTCTCGTAATAATTATTAACATAAATTTATCTAAGAATAATTTTTTTGTATTTTTTTTTTTTTTTTTTTTTTTTTTTTTTGTATATAGTGATCGGGAGAAAAGCGATCGAAAGAAGCTTAAAAGATAGGAAGAAGAAGAGTGACCTTTCTTGGCCGGCGGTGTCCCAGATTTGGGTCTTGATGAGTTTATCGGCGACCTTGATATTCCGGTAAGCGAATTCGACGCCGATGGTAGGTTTGGAATCCAATCGGAACTCGGCTCTGGCGAAACGGGAGAGGAGATTGGATTTTCCGACGCCGGAATCGCCCGTCAGAACCGCCTTGAACAGATAATCGCACTCTTCGTCGAATGAATCCGCCATTTCTCTCTCTGCACAAACAGAGGGGAAAGTGTTCTTTTAAAGTGTTTGGACTCCAAAATATTGTTTCCATTTATTCAATACAATTTTTATTTCTTTTTTTAATTTAGATTAATTTATATATTTTTAATATATCTAAAATTAATTTTTATTAAAAAAAGTACCAAATATATTTTTGATGATTAATATAGAATAAAAATAAATTTAGGGCTGTTTCCATTGAGTATAGTCTCATGTGAACAAACATCGATGATGAAACAACATAATGGATATGCATGATTTTTATTTATTTATTTATTTATTTTACTTATATATAAATATATATATTTATATATCTATATATGTTAGGTGCCATTAACAAGGAAAGTGACCCATAGCTTCCAATCATCTCTTTGCCTTCATGCAAATCCAAATTTCCTCACCGTCATCTTCGTCGTCTCATTTTCAAACTTTACTATTTTTCCAATCTAAGTTAAAAAAAATTTAAATCGTGGGGATTTTTTATTGGGGGTTGCTCTGTGTATCGTGACTGGCAGGTGAGATTAACAAAATGATTAACCTAATGTGGCTGATGATGACTAATCTAATCACTTTTCTAATTAATTCCCTCAGTTTAGGAAGTGATTATGGCTTAGCGTTGGATTCCCTTGCCTATTAATCATATCGCTTTAATTAAATTAGGGTAATTTTTATTTAAAATTAATTACTATAAAATGTAATTTAATATTTTTAATCTCACGAACATGGTTATAATAATTATAACTGTTCAAGGGAGAATTAATAATTATAAATGTTTTTAAAAATAGATAATAAAAAAATAAATTTAGCGTGGGCCTCAACCATTTATAAGCCCACCATATTAGGCCCATTAAGGATGCCACATTTACCAGAAAATATGTAGTTAAATATTAATAGGCCAATTATAAAAATAATTTTGTATAAATATATGATAAATGTTATTATCGCACTCCCGCTGCAGCAAGACAGTAAAAATTAGTTTTAACCTAGTGAATAAATCAGTCGTGTGAATCTCAAACTTTGTGGACAGTTTTGGCAGTTATCAAGCTACAAATTACATTTGAGATAACTGTTTTAGAAAACGTGAGTGAAGAAATACGTTGAAAACAATTTGTAACAATCACAACTTTGATATCGTATAACTTGGATAGAAATAATTGACATGATTTTGATGAACGGTCATATGCCCCGTATTAACATAACAAGAATAGTAAAAACCAAACCAATATAAAAGCAAGTAAAAAGGGGTTTGGAACAGGCATGCGGTCATGGGAAACATGTCCTAGATAAGTATGAATGGAATATCTGACATATGGTCATAGGCAACACGTCTTAAACAAGCATGACCGTGACAATAAACATAGTGATGAAAATGATGAATAGTATAAGCATAGTACGAGCAGAGTATAAGCAGAGTATGAGTAGAGTACGAGTTCGTTTCATCTCCCTTCAACCTCTCGTGCTTTAAGTCGTCTCTCTTCAGCCCCCAACGATATAAACAAGTATAGTTTGAGTCATCGACTCATAAAAAGTGAAGAAAGGCATAATAATTTAAGCATAGGAGGAACATATGATAATGGATAGGGTGATAGGATAAGACCATTTTGCCATGCTTGTTGGAGCCACTTGAGTGGCATTATGTAAATACCATTTTTCATGATTTTGACAATTCTTTTTATTTATTTATTTTTTTTTTTTTTGGTCAATAAACTCATTTTATTCATTGCACAACCCTATAATTCAAAATAATTTTGTTTCTATTTCAAAATTATTATGTCGCGGTTCGATTATGATCACGATGTGGACTAAACAATCACGCACATATGTATTGAAGTGTTCGATAAGTTTAGACAACTCAACTCATAATAAAATTAAATTTAATTATTAATGTGATCCCCTATATATTTTAAGATTGCACTCTAAAAAATATATATTTGAAGTTAAACATGCTTAATTCTTGGATTAAAGGAGAATCGAGAAGAAATGGAGCGGGAATTTTTAGTTTTCTAAATGGGGATGGGAAGGGAGAATCGAGTAGGAGATGGGAACAAAGACACGGGACGAGGAAGTCATTCCCGCTCCCTTGGACCACCTAATTAATATGACGTGTTCAAGTGAGGTCTATTCAACTATTTATTACGAGGAACTGATAACTAAAAATTTAAAAGGGATATAATTGTAACTCTAACTCCGTATATATAAATAATAATATTAATAATACATAAATAATATTAATAATACATAAATAATATTAAAGCATTCGATATAAAACAAACCTAAACTAATAAAAAAAATATTAATTTGTTTGAAAAAATATTTATATATTCTTTTAAAAGTTGTTAACTATTATCTTGATTTTTTATAAATGTCTCAAAATTATCTTCGATAGAAACTCATTAGAATGTTCGATGAACGTTGACATGAAACGACTAAAACAGTTATATGGATCAATTGAATGAACAACATTAAAACGTATCAATTTTCATTAAATATTCTAATAGCTTTTAGGTAATTATGACATCTAAATAATTGAGGGATACATGGAAGAACGATACCACTCTGAATCCGAGAAAGTCATTAAACCATTAATTTATGATTTAAAATCACTTTTATCTTTAAACTTTAATTTATAACGATTTAGTAAAGAAAATTAAAAGGTTTGAGAGTGATTTTTATTTAGGCATAAATTTAATTGTTACGTTAGATATTATATTTTTGGTTGGATGCAAAGATAATATATGGTATTTTTCATTCCCATATTCGAGTTAGCCTCTTGGACAAGGGAGAACTTCCTCATGAAAATACTCCATTCAGAATAAATTTTGGGGGCTTCTATAAAAAAACAGAAGAAAAAGAGATAAAACAAAAAATAAAATTCTTCTTCTCACCTTTTAACACGAAAACTGATCATTCATTTTCTTTCTCGTTCTCACCGTTTTTATAGGCCCACATCTTTTAAAGCTTAGATTTTTTCTTTACAAATACATGTCTTCGACATTTTCATCCATCTCTTGTAATATAGTCATGTTACCTCATTCTCTTTCTCGTTCTCAATAAATTTCATAGGCCCACATTTTCTAAAGCTTGGATTTTTTTTCTTTATTAATACATCTAACGGCTTCGCCATTTGATGCAGTATGGTATGTTACCCACTCTTAGTTTTTAAGAGTAAAGAGTAACTGTTTCAACATAGTTTATACTCACATGCCTGAGTAGAGAGTCACCCAATATAAAGCAAGCTTGACCAATAAATTTCTATAAAATGAACAAAAAAAAAAAAATTACTTTATATTTCAGGTCATGTGTTAAAAGTACATGTTGTTTCTCGGGTCAACTTCATTTATTAGGACTAAAACTCTTTTATCTCCCAACTAATTTCCTGAGACCACTATGAAAGCGATTGAAAGTGTTGTCTCGAAAGAAAATCAAGCATTGAGGATTAAAATGCAACTTCAAAGCTCTAAGTTAAAAATAAAATTTTAAAAAGAAAAAAATCATATGCATAAACTTTAGAATTTGCAAAGAAAAACAGAGGCCGAGGCTTACTTCCTTCAGTCGGAAGCTGAGGAGAAAGAGGAGTTGAAATGAAAGAAAAGCATTAATGGCGGGAGAACAGAACCAGATCCGGAATTTCATGCTATATTTTGGAAAATAAAAAAACACTAGGATACATGAATACATCGATTCAGATTAAGGAGAAACAGAGAAGCGAAACGAAAAATTAAAAGAGGGAAAAGGAACGAACGATGTAAATCGACTTCGTTGCCTCTCACGCGGCTAATTGTATGAACTTAAGAAAACCTAGGGCTAGGGCTAGGGCTAAGGCGCCGTGGCGGCAGTTCCATTCTGATTCGGCGCCTCGGAGTTGGAATTATTGGACATCATCTTCCTAAACTCCTCGAAATTAACATTTCCATCGCCATCGGAATCGACGGAATGGATCATCCGTTGACAGTCCTCCTTGGAGCATGTGATTCCTAGGCGATTGAGGACGAGGTGGAGCTCAGATTGCGAGATCAGGCCGTTATGGTCCTGATCGTAGAGGTCGAAGGCGTCACGAAGCTCCGACGCTCCGGCTTCATTAGAGGCCATCGGCTCCTTACAGAAGACGGCAAACTCGTCGATATTGATGAAACCGTCCTTATCGGTGTCGAGATCCTCCATGACGGCGCGGAGCTCGTCGTAGGGGACGGATGAGCCTAAGGACTTGAGGACGGAATCAAGCTCGGATAAGGAGATCTTCCCGTCGCCATTGGCATCGAAGCGGTCGAAAACCTTGCGGAGTTCAGCGTTGTCCTGGAGAAGGAAGGAGGGCTTGGACTTCAAGACCTGCTCGGTATCGGCGTTTGATGCCGTAATCTGGTTCGAGTCAGTGGCCATTTTGGGAGGTCCTATTTCAATCTAAAAGAGAGAGAAAGTGAGAGTATTATATTTCAGCTTGAAGAAATGAAAGTGCGAATGGGTATTTATAATGAGAAAATATTGAAGAAGAAGAAAAGCGATGTGGGAACTCAAACCCGACGGCCGACTCTCTCCTAATTTTCCTCTTTATCCATCAAATAATACGGTCAAGGAAAATCGGACTTTTCAAATATCATTTATATAATAATATTCTGTAATATATATATATATATATTCCATCTTATATTTTATATATAATTCTTTTAATTAATCTATAAAACTTCTGTAGTCTACCTTAATCCAAACAATGTTGTTAAAAATGTTTTCCAGTGATGCAACCATCATCGGACACTTGTTCAAGCCCCACCTCGAAGCACGTTACTCAACTTTGACCAAATACGAGCCCGACCAGGTGGTCCACTTAAAGGAGGGACAACATAGATGATGAATTAGCTACTCGACCAATACAACTATCATGCAGGGTAAACAATACAGTTACGGAGCTAAATAGTTCACCGATATCAAGATTCTATTTGCAGGTTGCCATGTTACTTGATTGGAACTCACTTTGGACAAACGTGAACAACCTAAATGTTATTATAGTAATCTTCAAATAGGTCAAGTATCCGGGCCTTCACCTATCGTCTTCT